CAGAGAAGGGGGTGAAGGAAGAGCAGCCTTGTTTCCTGTGGCTGGAAGGGTCTGTTGTCACATCCTTACTCTGCTCTTTTCAATTGCTTTTTGTTTTCTTCCTGTGGCTTAGGGGGAAAAGCAGAAGTCTCAGGAGTGGTGCTTGGGGTGGGTTGTGTGCCAGCACCCAAAAACCAGAGCTGTGCCTGGTATGACTGGGAGAAAGCTGCTTGTTCTCTTTTAAAATCTGAATTATGTTGGTTTTTTTCTTCCCTGGTTAATGAGTGTCCTGGGAAACTGGTGTTTCTCACAGTGTGTCCAAGAAAGGGTCAACGTGAAAGTCCCGGGTGATGGGGTAAACCCCTCACCCTGCTCTCAGCCCTTCCCTGGGGCTGTGTGATTCCTGCCCAGTTCCCTGAGCTCATCCCAGTTGGGAGAAGCAGCTGGAACCATTCCAGCCCAGCCCTTGGAGTGGATTTCATAGCGAGATAAAGATCGTTGCGTGTTACGTGATAAACCTCAGGACCTGCAGTTGGTGCCTGGGTTTGTCAGCACCAGAGGAGCAGTGGGACAGTCCCCAGCCTTGCTTATTAGCAGATTGATTTACTTTTTAATTGAGGAGAGAAGCTGAGCATGGGGAGGGTGAAGCAGGGGGGTTTTGTGTGCTGAGGAACAGCTAAACCCATGATTTTAAATTCTCTACCCTCACTTTTGACTCAGAGCAGGTTCCCACAACTAGGGAGTGAGGAAGGGGACCCTGCAGATGCTGACCAGGGCCCCCCCGAGGGGGGTACCATGTCTGTATAAAATCATAACATAAAAGAATTCCACTGTGGGTTCAGCACTTGATGTCATCTCCAATTGCACCGACCTCCGGAGCTTGGATACACCCGGGTCTTAGCAGCTTTTTATCCTGGCTTATGAAAAACCATGGGAAGTGGGGATTGTGATCCCACAGGTGCCCATCCCAGAAGTCAATCCTGCCAAAGTACCCGGCATGGGTGCTGGCAGCAGGTCCCAGGGGGTGGCATAGGGTGACCAGACTCCTCTGGACAGGGCAGGGTCCTGGAGTTCTTGTGTCTCTGCTTCCTCCCTTTTCAGCTGGAGCTCTGGCTCCTGGGATTATACCTGGGAATAAATCATGGAATAATGACAGGAAAGCTCTTTTTTTTCCCTCCCCCCTGAAGTTCCAGCAGCCTTGCAGTTGTTTGGACAAAACAAACCCAGGAATAACTCATCCTTAACAGCAGCAGCTGCAGTGTCTTGTTGGAGAACCCAAGGCTGTGTTTTCTTCTCCTTTTCTTACCTTTTCCAGGGTCAAATGAATCAGGATTCAAGGGAACCAATCCCCTCTCCATCAGTGGTCAGAAACTATTTTATCTAAATAAAGCAGGGTTGTTTTGGTGGTTTTTTTTCCAAAGAGTTCCTGGGGGGATACAGGGAGAATTGGAAGCTGGTTCCTTGGGCTTCTTGTCCAAGCCTTTTAGTGCTGATGAGCTTTGTTGCTGTGTCTTTTGGAGACATGTTGAGATGTTTCTCTGAGCCATCTTCCTGGGGTGAATTTTAGGAAGGTTTTCAGGCTGAGGAACTTTTGGTGAAATGCTTCCAAGTGGGATTTCTCAGCCAAGTTCAAGTGCAGAGCAGCCTGTTGTATCTCCAGGCATGGTGGGTGGAAAGGGTGAGCGTGGGGCAGGGAAATGTTCCCTCAAGTGGCTCAAGATAATGTGCTGAGGTCGTTGTTAGTGTTACAAGTGTTTTCTTTGTTCTTCAGAAGGTAAAATGTGTTCCCAGAAAGATCTCTTGAAGGTTGGAGTGAGGTCTCCCTAGTAATGAGCAACAGGACAAGAGGAAATGGCCTCAGGTTGCACCAGGGAAGGTTTGGGTTGGATATTAGGAGAAACTTCTTCACTGGAAGGGTTATTGAGCATCGAGGCTGCCCAGGGAGGTGGTTGAGTCACCATCCCTGGAGGTGTTTCAAAGCCATGTAGATGTGGTGCTGAGGGACCTGGGTTAGCTCAGGCCTTGGGTTCATGGTTGGACTGGATGATCTGAAAGGCCTTTTCCACCCAGAAGGGCTGTGTGATCTGGTTAGAAGCTTCTTTCCAACCCAGAGCCAGGGCAGAGCTGCTGCTCAGGAGGCACAGGCAGGTTGGAAGGCACCAGGGAATCCAAGCCTCTGCTTCCTAGGGTGGAGGAGAACTGGGAGGGCATCTCATTTAACCAACCACTTCCCAAGCTGGAGATGATGGCACAAAACCACTGCTGCTCCTTTGTTCCACCTTGTGTTGGGCAGTGGGGCAAGGGAGCAGCACCAGGGGGTTTGGGAATCAACCCCAGAGGTTCCACTTGCATTGCTTTGAAATGTATATCCCAGCCAACCCTGCTCTTGCTTTGATCCAAGCAGCATGTGGTGCCCTTTGCTATCCAAACCTGCTTTTAGGAAGTGATTTGCATGATTGCAGTGGGATGGAAAAAAACAACCCCAACAAACCACCTTCCTCCAGGCAGGATGTTCCCATTGTTGTGGCTGTTTGTTTCTCTAATGTGTGTGTTGTGTGTGACTTGCAAGGAAATCAATGGCTTTAGGTTTCAGAGCTGCCTGGGGAAGTTAAAACATGTTCTGTGCTTCCCTTCCCAGCAAAAAGTGTGAGAGGAGAGAAGCAGGTCTGACCAGCAAGAGGTTGTCCTGAGAGGCTTGAAGACTCTTCTCCCACCTCCAGGCCTGATGGTAGGACTTTGCAGGGCAGCTGGGAGGACTTTCTTAGCATGGGAACTGTTTCCTTCAAGCTCTTTTGGTAGATAAGAGGTGAACAGGGCTGCAGAAAGGTGCTTGGACCAGCAGAATTGGTTTTGGGGCAAATATCTTATCCCATCTGTGGGGTCAGATGCTGTGGGAAATGGGAGCTCTGGGTATAAGCACTTGGGAGACACATTTTTCTTAAAAAGGGTAAGAATTGGGGAAGTGTTGCTCTGGAGAGGGTGGGGAGGGCTTTGAACAAGGGGGTGTAGTGATGGGACAAGGGGGAATGGTTTGAAACTGAGGGTTTGACTTTGGGGCCCAGACTGAAGGTTGGTGGGTGTCTCCTCACAGACCTGGGGGCTTTATTGATTGTCCCCTGCCCAAATTCCCACCCCACCCAGACTGTAACTGCTCCCCTCCAGGTGGAGCTGCCAGCTTCTCATTTATTTTAATTGCCATCTTACCCTCCTGCCAATGACATGGAGATGTGAGGAAGGGCTGATGGAGCTGGGAGATGCTGGGGAGGCATTTGGGGCTTGGTGGGGGCATCATCCATCCTGGGACAGATAAACCACCTCTCCTGCAAAGGCTGGGAGAGTTGGGGAGAAGAGAAGGCTCCAGGGAGACCTTAGAGCAGCTTCCAGTGCCTGAAGGGGCTCCAGGAAAGCTGGGGAGGGACTTAGGACAAGGGCAGGGAGGGATGGGATGAGGGGGATGGATGAAAAGTGGGAGAGGGAGGTTGAGGCTGGACATGAGGAGGGAATTCTTTGGTGTGAGGGTGGTGAGAGCCTGGCCCAGGTTGCCCAGGGAAGCTGTGGCTGCCCCATCCCTGGCAGTGTTGAAGGGCAGGTTGGATGGGGCTTGGAGCAGCCTGGGCTGCTGGGAGGTGTCCCTGCCCATGCAGGGGGTTGGATCTAAATGAGCTTTAAGGTCCCTTCCAACCCAAACCATCCCATGATTCTATGAAAAATCCCCCATTTTCTAGCACTGAGTTTCCCCATCTCCTGCAAACTCAACTCTCCTTTTTTCCCTGCCTCAAGCTCACCTGGTTTCTTTGGTTCTGTGTCATAGACTGAATTTAGCCCATTCATTTTTGAGGGAACTTTCCTTGCCTGCCCCAATGTTTTAGCTCCTTAATACTCCTCTAATGCTATATTAATAAAATACATTTTATTAAATACAGACTGCTGAATTTTGGGCTTGAAAGAACCCATTTGACAGCTTAAGGGAGGGTTTCTGTATTAAACCAACCCTCTTGTTGGTTTAATATTTAAAAATGTGGGGAGGAAGTAAAGGATGGTACCAATGGCTGGGATGGTTGGTGTGAAATCCTCATGATATCCCAGATCCATGTCAGGATTTCAATGATCTGCCCAAAATTGCAACCTCACTGTCAGAAAGAAAAGTCCAAGCAGCTTCATTTTGTCTTGTCCATCCCAAATAAATCCAGAGGATACTGGTTGAATACAGACTCAGTGTTGCTGGTGGGCTCTGGGAGCTGCTTCTGCCACTTCCTTGAATCTTGGGATGGGTCTGGGTGGTTGGGATGGTGGGAGAAGGGGAGAGGAGCCCAAGGGTTGGGTTTTGTCTTTGTTTGCTGGGTTGTGGTTCTGGCTTGAATAAGAATTGGTTTTGCTTCCAGGTTCTCTGCTCTGGGACAAAACCCACCATGTCCAGGAGGAGCAGCAGCCACAGCCACCATGAAAAAGAGGTTTTTGTGGAATGTTCTCTGTGTCCTGGTGGAAGTTGAATGTCTCTCTGCTGTCTCTGGCTTTGAATCCCTCCTGGGGCTGATGATTGGGATCCAAATGGAAGGAGCAAAAACCAAAGAAGCAAGAGCTGTGCTGGGGCACGTGGGAGGTCCTTGTCCACCACAGCCTCAGAGGTGAGTGGGTTTGCTCTGGGGGGGCTGGGGAAGGTTTGGGGGGGGGTGTTCTGTTGGGCTGAACCCAGTGGGGTTCAATCTGAGACCCAGAAGGACACAGGGACAGTTCAGCACCCTCAGGAGCCAAGTGAACCCCATGTCCACCCAGGCCTTATTTCACCCCCCCACATCAAAACCCACTTTCCAGATTTCTCAGATGGCTTTAATCACACATGCAGGAGAAATATCTAGATATACAAACTGTGCATCTGTCACCTAAATATATATCTATATCAAATCAAATCCCTCTTTTCATGTTTGATATTACCCAGCACAGAAGGTCTGGGCCAGCCAGCGTTTGCCCACCATGGATGCCATCAAAGACCAGCCTTTCCAATTTCCACCACAGAATCAGCTTCAGCTGCAGGGTCCTTTGTCCAGGTTGGCTTTTTTTAGCTTCCATTTCTGGACCAAAGGCTCCAAGAAGAAAGCAAGTGGTGAGATGAGAGCACAGGCTCCAGCAAAGAGGAAAGAGCAGGCGTAGGTCTGGGTGTAGTCATAGAGCCACCCTGCAGGAGAAAAGAGCTGTGATTAAAGCTGGATTTTTCTCACCCAAAAAAAAAACCCCTCCTTTGGGGAGGTGGGTGGGAAGCAAAGGATGTGTGTTCTCATTGAAAAATTCCACAGATATTTGCTTTCAGTGATTTTTTTTAACTCTTCCCAGACCTGCTGCTGTGCAGCGTTTCCGTGCCCAGTTCTGACTGTTGCCATTGCCAGGCAAATTTTGGAGGTCATTCCTCCTGCAGCTCATTTCTCATCCTGGCAGTGGGATTGGATTGAATTGGATTGAATCCCTGACTTCTCTTTTTGGTTGTTTTTTTTTCCCTTCTTGTTTACATCAGGAAGCCAAAAGCCACCACAGAGGGAACCTCCCGTTGGATTCAGGAGATGATTTGCACATGTTGACAACATCTGGGCTGCAAATTCCAGGTTTTCCAGCCCTGCCTTCTTGGGAGCAGACCCTGTTGAAGACAACCTGTCTAATATGAGCCATCCCAGGCCAGGAGCTTGAAGTGAACTCACTTAGAAGCAGCTTTTCCAGCACTTAAAAGGACAACTGGAATTCCATGAAGGCTCAGGAATCTGTGAGGGGCCAGGTCACCTTTTAAAGTGACCTCCAGGTGTTTTATTTAGTTACCATCTTGTGTCTAGACAAGTCATCTGAAGGGTGGAGAATTCCTCAGCTTGAATCAAAAAAAAAACATCCAAAGAGATGGGAGTTGCTGCTGCCTGGAAGAAAGGTGGGATCTGGTTTTCTTCTCTAAAAATCTGTGGGATCTGGACAGGAGAGGGAATGTCAGTAAGATGGAGAGGACAGAGTGTTCCAGTGCTCTGGTTTCTTTAATTTTTTTTTAAAAATCATTTACATAAAAAAATAGAATATTTAAGTGATTTTTTAAAAAAGATTCTTCAGGAGCAGTTTGAATTTTTCTGGGGATTTTTGGCCCTGTAAGAGCAGCACTGGCTCCTCCCCAGCAGTTCCCTGTCACCAACATCACCCCAGCTTTTGAAAGGACAATGTCTCCACTCTTTATCTCCCCCAAATTATCATCCCTGCTGCAGAAGCTGAAGGAGAAGCTCCTGGGGTGCAAATTCCAGCAGAGATTTTTTTGCAAGCAGTGCTGGGAAATCCCTGGCACTGGGGGGTGGTTCCTGCTTGTGCTGCTGCTGAAATTGTGCTGCCAATCTGCATTCAGAAGTGTTGGTTATTCCTCATGGAATCCTGGAATGGCTTGGGTGGGAAAGGACCTTCAGGATGATCTAGATCCAACCCCCTGCATGGGCAGGGACACCTCCCACCAGCCCAGGCTGCTCCAAGCCCCATCCAACCTGCCCTTCAACACTGCCAGGGATGGGGCAGCCACAGCTTCCCTGGGCAACCTGGGCCAGGCTCTCACCACCCTCACACCAAAGAATTCCCTCCTCATCTCCAACCTCAATCTCCCTCTTCCACTTTTCATCCATCCCCCCTTGTCCTCTCACTAACAGCCCTTCCTGGTGTCCTCAGCAGCAATACTTGGGGTGGAGGTGTCTGCTGTGTGAGGAGAGGCTGGGAGAGCTGGAGGCTGAGGGGGGATCTCATCAACCCTCCTCAATATCTCCAGGGGTGTCAGCAGGATGGGGCCAGACTCCTCCCAGCAGTGCCCAGGGACAGGACAAGGGGCACTGGGCACAAACTGGAGC